TGCCTTGTCCTATAGATTTGCCAGGAGCCAGCATAGACTCGGTGGCAGGGAGTTGTGTGAGTTGATTGGACTGATAGACACAAGGTCGGCAGTTCGAACCCACTGGCTATGGCATGGGAGAGAGAAGAGGCTGTTTGCTCCCGTGAAGATTCACAGCCTCGGGGGAGGGGGAACCCACAGGGGTGGAGCTGCTGTGAGAGGGACTCCCCAGGAAGGAAGGGGGTTTGTTGTGTTAGCTTTGCTGAACTCCTCTGCGGGTGAATTTCCTCTTTGCCTCCTGTTACCCTGAAGTGAGGCAGGAAGGGTGAGGGAGGCACATCGGAGATCAAGCCCCTGTTCCCCCCTCCTCCCTCCTCTGCAGGCCGCCTAATCAGGGAGTGGGGCCCAGGGCCTGGGGGTCCAGGGAGGTAATGGGACGTTTCCTGGGAGAGGAACCTGGAGCTGCTCATTTATCCTGGAGGTAATGGTGTGAGAGAGAGGCCTTGCCGGCCTCACAGGGGCTCAGCGAAGTGGAAAAGGGACAGAGGGCGGCTTGCACTCTCTGAAAATGTGGGTGATTTGCAACGCTAGGGACTAGAAGAACTTGGGAAGGCGCCACCTGGAGTCAAAGCACCGTCATTACCCAGCGTGGTAGTTTTGTACCACAGAACACCCCACCCCCACCTCCCCACCCCCCTGCTAATCCCTTCTAGGATTAGTGGAGATGGGATGCAGTCCGGCTCCCAATCATAAGAAATAACTGAAAATGGATTAATCCGTTCTCAACCACCACGTTTTTTACCCTAACCTTGCCCTTTTATACAAAACATTACACAGAAATTTCAAAGTAAGTAAGTTCAGAGTTAAATAATGCAATGTAAATAAGAGACACAACATTAAAATGTTTCTAACTACAGTATGACCCATCCCTGGAGACTGATGAGGACCTGGATCTGCGGACACGGGTGTGGAGAGGAGGGATGGAGAGAGTGCTTGTTTGGAAGGGAATCCCTTTCCATAAAATAACTGGGAGCTGCTTTTCAGGAAATTTCCCCCGTTTTGCCTTTTCTTCACTAGTACCTGGCTGGCTTTCTCTAAAAAAAAAAGAAGGAAAGAGTATCTGTCTAATGTGGTCTGTTGTTATCATTTTCTTAACTGTTTGCTAAAATGGTTCACGAAATTACCATCAACAATGTCGATAACACGGTTAATCAGTTCCTTATAACGATGATTCTTTTCAAAAAACTCTGTCTTAGGACCCATGTTTTTTATTTAAAAATGGTACAAAAATCCACACAAACTAAGAAAATTATAGCAAAACACTTGGAACACAGCTGCAATATGTTTAAACAGTGCACACTAACAACACCAACTAACAGAGAGTGATGGAAACACACTGTTAGTTTATAAAAATCATGTGCGTTGGGTCGGATTCCAATGTTCTGTTTGAGCTCCGATGCAACATTGTCTCAACATTTTGTGTCAAAATCTGATCATGTCCAGTACTGATGTGGTCCAGTACCCGGGGTTCTACTTG